CCACAGTGACCCTCCCCTGGGTGTTTGAAGCAGTATGTCCCACCTGTCCAAGATTCCTTGATTAGAAGGGCTCACTGTCATTGAGTGCTCTCTAACTTCCATTGTCCTTCTCCTTGGCATTTATGTGAAAGCCATTCTCACATTGCTATCTTTCTCTTCTTTAAAAATATTTTTTTAGTTGTTGATAGGCCTTTATTTTATTCATTTACTTATATATAGTGCTGAGAATCAAACCCAGTGCCTCACACATGTGAAGCAAGCACTCTACCACAGAGCCACAACCCCAGCTATCTTTCTTTTCTTTTTTTTAATATCTGTTTTTTAGTTTTAGGTGGACACAATATCTTTATTTTATTTCTATGTGGTGCTGAGGATCGAACCCAGTGTTTCATGCATGCTAGGCGAGCACTCTACCACTGAGCCACAATCCCAGCCCCTACATTGCTATCTTTCTTAGCACCCTAGAGCCAATGTCAGTGAATCCCAAAACTTTGTCCCCTAAATATGGACCCAACTTGGCTTTTTTGTTTTTGGTACTGGGGATTGTACCCAGGGGCACTTAACCACTGAGCCACATATATCCCCAGCCCTTTTTATTTTTCAGGTTTCGGAGAGGTTATCACTAAATTGCTAAAGGCCTTGCTAAATTGCTGAGGCTGGTTTATGAACTGGCGATACTCCTCCTTAGCCTCCCAAGTCACTGGGATTACAGGCTTGTGCCACTTCTGTCCTAACTTGGCTTTTCAGATGCATCTACACTAATGCTGCCTCCCCTATCCTCTTCAGAGCCATTGAATCTGCAAGTTGGTCCCATCTTACCTTTGTCCTTTGTATGTGTTTTTACAGGATTTCTTTAACTTACATCCTGCAAGCTTTTACTTTTTACCTTTAAACATCATGGCTCTTGTTTTAGATCTAACTTGACTATCACCTCTTTTCTTTTTATTTTGTTCAACAGTTTTTATAATTGATTTGTGAACCCACTTTTTATTCTCTCCTCATGTGTTCCCAGTTCCCGGAGGGCAGAGACTATATTTGGTTCATTTTTGTTTTTCTCATAGTTGAAGAATATTTGTTGAATATAATTGAATCAACTTGGTGGACACAACATCTTTGTTGGTATGTGGTGCTGAGGATCGAACCCGGGCCGCACGCATGCCAGGCGAGCATGCTACCGCTTGAGCCACATCCCCAGCCCCACAAACTGGAGTCCTACAAAGCCCCAAACTATTAGGAATGAAGTGTCTTGATCTATATTACACTTTTTTTTTCTCATTCATGGCCAGGCAAAAAAGGAGAACCAACTTCCAGAATTTATTAAACAAAGAAATTTGGATTTTGGAATCTTTTTGTCTCCATTCTTATATTTTATTCCTATTTTGAGGTGAGAGAATCTTATGAAATTAGCATATTCAAAAGGCTCATCAAAATTTTGTAGGTTAATTAATAGCATAGCTAATGTGAACTTTGATTTTTTTTCCCCCTGCAGGCTAACATTATTTTTTACTTCATGGAAAGTTAATCACTACTGCTTGGAAATAAAAATTAACTCAGACAAACTGAGTGTGTGTAATTTTGCCACCTTTATATTCCTAATATGAGAACTGACAGAATAGTTTTCTAAACTTTGATGCTTAAGTGCTTGTATGTGTGTCTCATTATGTGAATGAACACCAAAAAAGTGAGTTACATACAATAAAAGCAAGACTGGACTGAATCTTCTGATATTTCTTCTTAGATCTTCAATTGTTTTTTTTTTCTTTAGATTCTTGTTTACATTGCTTTTTTTTTTTTTTTTTTTTTTTGTGATGCTAGGGATTGAACCCAGGACCTTGTGCATACGAGGCAAGCACTCTACCCACCAAGATATATCCCCAGCCCTGTTTAGACTGCTTTTGTGTGTTATGTTAAAATTTTTCCATGGTCTTGGCACATAATGCCTGTTTTTCTAGGCTAAAATTCTTACAGCCATGCATGGAAATAGGAGTTAGAAGTTCTGATTTTTAATCACTTATTTGGCCACCTGTTAGAATTTGCTCAATATTGTTTAGCCTGCCCATACAAACTTTCTTTGGCCAGCTTTTATAAAGAGGTGTAAGTGGCATTGGGCCATATGCCACTTTTGTTAGATGCTCTCATTTTCATAACAGAAGTTTCTTTCATGGAACATGGGAGCTTGCTTGAAATGCAGAACTCAGGTTGTATGCCAGAACCACTGAGTCAGATCTACTTTAAAATGTGATCTCTAGGTGGTCCCTATGCACAGTACAGATTGAGGGGTTCTGGATAAATCTTCAGATATGGTTGTCAGGAAAGATGTCTCTAAAGAAATACGAGTTAGTTGAGAATAGAATGATGTAAACAATTGAAAATCTAAAGAAAAAAAAAAACAATTGAAGATCTAAGCCTTGTAAAGATCTGGACAAAGAGTGGTCCAAACAATGAGAGTAACTAAGGGAAATGTTCTGGGACCAATGTGGGTGGCACAACTTGAGAAAGAGGTCTTAAGCCTTCTACTGTCTGATATTTATCCCAGGGAGACATCATCTAATTGCTATCCTGAATTCAGCAGACCACTGAGGGCCTATGTATTCAAGTGAACAGAAAAGTTTTGATGGTTTATAGAATTAATTTAATGCACTTTGCTTTGTCATTGTGCCAGCAGTTTCCATTGAGGGGATCTGGGTACAAGTCTTTAAAACACTGAATTTCCAATTAGCTTGCTGCATCAATTTTAAGAGGAAACAGGATTTCCCTCAGGACTAAAATTCAAGAAAAACTGCGCAACTATAAAAATAAAACAAAAACAAATAACCCAGTTGATTTTTATCTTATGAACACCGGAAACCCTTAAAATGATTGCTGTCTCTTCTTTTCTGTAGCTAAAAAGCTTAGGTTCAAATTTCTGTCCTGCCTTTGACAACCGTTCTGGATCTGATAGAATACAAGCTTAAATATTAATTTAAAATTTTTTTTTAGTTGTAGTTGGACACAATACCTTTATTTTATTTATTTATTTATTTATTTTTATGTGGTGCTGAGGATCAAACCTAGTGCCTCACACGGACTAGGTGAGCACTCTATCGCTGAGCCACGACCCCAGCCCCTTAAATATTAGTCTTATTAACCACATTGTTCTCCTTCCACTAAACTCTCCTCTCCCTGGTTCTGTCAAGTATTTCTTTCACCTAGTAATGTCTATATCTTAGTAATGTGCCTCAAGTAATTTATGGAAGAAGATGAGGTAGAATTATGTATATAAAAACCAACTCAGTAATGTATACAGGATTTATTTGTACCAATTTTTTGTGAGTTCATTTTTCAGACAAAAGAAATGACTGACAGCTGAAACATTTTATAAATGAGGCAGAGTTCTTAAGGTCAGAGTGACTTAATAAAAGTGTTCTCTTGAAACTTGTTCTTTTCCTTGTGGTCCTTCTAGGGCAACACTTCAAATATTCTCATTGTCTTCAAGCCAGAAATGGAATGGAGGGTGAGAAAAGAAAAACGAACTAGTATGTGATCACAAAATCTTTATTGTTGGCATATGAAGAAACATAAGTAGCAAAGCTTACAAAGAGAAAATTCTGATTATGTAAAAAGTAAAGATATTCAATAAAAAATTTATTGTATAAAACAGTGTACTAAGTATTATAGAAATTGCTTCCTATGGCCAAGTGGAGCATGCCTGTAATCCCAGCGACTCTGGAAGCAGAGGCAGGAAAATTACAAGTTCAAAACGAGCCTCAGCAACTTAGCGAAGCCCTAGCAACTTAGTGAAGCCCTAGCAACTTAGCGAAGCCCTAGCAACTTAGTGAAGCCCTAGCAACTTAGTGAAGTCCTAAGCAACTTAGTGAGGTCCTAAGCAACTTAGTGAGACCTTGCTCCAAAATAAAAATTTAAAATGGGGGGGGCTAGGGATGTGGTTCAGTGGTTAAGTGGCCATCTTCAATCCCCAGTGCTCCCTCCCCCCAAAATGTTCCTGTCAAAAATGTTCCTGACAATGGGATCAAGAAGACTTGTCATAACCAAGTCCTTTTTCACCTATCAACTCCTTGCCACAACTTCCCTCCCTTTCTCATCATTTCTTTCTTTTTTTCTTTCTTTCTTTCTTTTTTCTTTTCTTTTTTTTTTTTTTTTTTTTTGGTCACATCCAAATATTGGTTGGGGCAACTTCAGACTGAAAGGTCTTCAGACTGAAGCTTGTCTTGCTTGTCAGGAGAGCATATGCTTCATAAACATGGCTTGAGTGAATGAGTCAGAGATTTAAGAAAGCTGGTTATAACTTCTTCACGGTTTTCTCATGGACCCAGAGTTGTAAATGGAGGCAGCAAGAAGGTACTGAATGCCTAGGAAAAGTCATCAGAAGGAGACACCGGAAAATACAGCGTTTACTCTGTGCATTTTCCTAGCATTTAAGGTCGACAAAAGTCAAGGGGCTGGAAGGAACATGATCCCACAGTTCTGGTTTAGAGGATATGAAAATTGGTTGGAAGCAACACGGATCCACAGTTCAAGTTCAGAGGATATTAAGAAACTCGAGTAAATAGGACATGAAATCTAAAGGGAAAGTACACGTCCAGTGTTTGTTTCCCTATTGAGTCATCTGTTCCCAGCACATTAAGTCACGGTGTTTGGAGATGGGAGAAACCTGAGGAATGTCAGTTTTTAGACGAGACTCACTCTACAAATGCCGCTAGCGGTAGGCAGAGGGAAAGAGGTGGGGTTGGTCCTGTGGGAAAGGTAGAGGTGGGGACAGAGCGGAGCTCAGAGGCAAGTCTCGAGGCTCAGAGGGAAGAGGCTTTGGCGAGGTGGGAGGGGTGTGGCCAGGGCGGAGGGCAGGGGCTGGCACAGTCTGGTGGGCGTGGCCAGAGCGGTACGTAGGGAAGTAGCGGGACGCTAAAGTTTGGAGAGGGTGTGGCCTCGATGGGGGTGTGGCCTCGATGAAGGGGCGTGGCCCGAGCGTCTGGGGCGTGGCAAGATACAAGTGGGCGAGGCTATGACAGCCCAGTCTGTGGGTCCCGGGTCCTGAGAGGCAAGCGGGCTAAGAGGTCAGTGCTGTAAGGAACCGTTCAGGTAAGGATGGGCGGCCGAGTCGAGTAGGGGCCAGAGCGGGGACAGGCAGACCCAGAGAAGGCCGTGACGCTCCCCACGACCCTCCGCCCCGCCGCTAGATGTCTCCGGGCTGGGACAGCTGTTGGCCCTGCGAGTATTTTCTGCGTTCCCCTGGGGTGCGCCAGACCAGGAGGGCCTAACTGGGCAGTCCTCTCCACCCCAGCCCTCTTCCTTCACCCTGGGTCACTAGACGGCCAAACCTCCCTTAGGGTTTTTTTGCACTTGACTAGTGAACACCTACCTGTCCCAGAGCATTTGTTGGGGACGGAGGGCAATTCCTTAAGGAGGGCAAGTTGCCAGAGTTGGTTGAATCTGAATAACTTAAGAAAGTACAGCCTATTGTAAAATAGCCGGAGACGAGGATAAAGGCTACAAATCTGAGGTTGCAGTTCCAGAAACCGAGGCGCCGTAAGCTAGAACTCATTTGGCTCTTCATTGTATTTCTTCCCCACCCCCACCCCCATTCTGCCAAGAGCTGTGAACAGAATTGCAGCCGCCCCCAGAGCAGGAGATCAGCATCATAGCTGTGTCAGTGGAGAAATCTGAGCCTTCTACACTCGCAATTCTTTCTTCTGAACTTGTGTGTGTGTGTGTGTGTGTGTGTGTGTGTGTGTGTCTGTGTGTGCGCCCTACCCTAGACCTGGAGGAGAGGAATCTCCAAAATGCAAACCTTGTTGGTGGCTGAGATATTGTTTTTTTAAACTGCATTTGTTGTTAAATGCTTCTGCACTGAGGCTGGTGGCAACTTGTTAATATTAATGCCAATGCCCTCCCCTCTTGTGAATTTTCTCTGGGAAAGTTTGAGAAATATGGTGAGTTAGTGAATACATCTTAGTTTGGATAAAACTTATTCTTTCTGAGCAACTGAAAACCACATTGCTTTCTGCTTCTTCTTCCTTTCTGATAATCTGGCCATCTCTGCTCTGCTGTTTAAAAAGTTTGCTGGGAAATAGAGACAAGCTGCCCTGTTTCTCCAGTGAGAGAGGAGGGGTCCAGCCCCCTGAGCTGTCCCGGAACATTCCTCAGAGTGGCCACTATTTGCGGATCTGTTGGAAATGGAAAAACCTTTCAGCTCTTTGTAGAACTTTCCTCCTTTACTCAGATAATTTTTAATAAGTACCTGGACTGGAAAGCACTGGAAGGCCAAAAGCAGCAAGGGTACAGTTCTCTGTGCCAGTACACTTCTGCCCTGTTCTCCCTGAAGCCAGGCAAGAGGCTGTGACCACTCTCAGTTGGAACACAATAAAGTTTGAGTGAATTGTGAGTAAATGAGTGAACATGAGTGTTTTGGAAATCTAATAGAAAAGGATAACGTATTTCATCTCATTGGCCACAGTTAGTTGTAACATACAGAGCAATTATTAGACATGTATTTTGAAACCTTTGACTATCTCAGATTGGGATCATGCTCCAAGGAAAGAAGTGGGTGAGAGGAGGAAGCTAAGCTATCTCAGTCAAGACATGGCAAATTCATCTCAACTTTAGATTTCAGGGAATTGCAAAAGGCCTGCTTCCTTTTGATATTGGGAGGTGAGAAAACGAAGGGTCAATCTGATGAGGATCAAGTAATTTCTTTCAGTGTTATTGTAACCTTTAGGGAGAGTACATGTCTCTTTTTTGCTGCCCATTTTGCATAGATATAAGTAGTTTAATCAGAAAGAGTTCAAAACACTTGTCATATAACAAACACACAATTTATGAATGATTCTTTAAGGACTTTCAGAATCTCTGATTTTTCCATATATTTCTAAGTCTGTAAAACATTGTAGAAGGAACACATTGATCAAATCCAAAGATAGAAATAAATAATCAGTGATAACAAAGGGTACAGAAAGCTTGGCTTCTCTGAGGCCTATTGAGCCCATGTATAAACTTAAGCACAGATTTTTCACGAACTATGGTAATGTATGATAGCAGTTCGTTGTTATGTGCTATGTCTAGTAAACATTATTTATGATTCCACAAGCTTGAACATTATGACTTCAGTGAGTAAGTTTTGAATAATTGACTCTCAATAAATTCTTACTTTTAATTTAACAGAAGGGATTGGTCTTGGACCTGAACATTAAAACACCTTGTGTATTGTCATAGGTGTTGGAACCTAGCATTAGCTAAACTGAGTTTCTGTTTATTTGGATTTTCCAAGAACCTTATTCACCTCTGACCTCCAATGCCCTGTTCCTTTCTTGGATATCTTTGTTCCTTCTTAGTCTATTGACATCCTTAATTGCTTCTTTTTGTCTGTCTCTCTCAGAACATCTGTAACTCTGGGAGGAAGGAGTTATTCCTTTTGTTTCTTTCTAGCTATGTAATCATTTCTGAGCACCAGAGTAGCGTTCATCAACTCCCAGACCTTTCCTCTTGCCTGGACCATTGGGCATCTCAAATCCAGTATGATAAGTGGTGCAAATACAGTCTTTTCCTTTCCTCTTTCTCATGCTAGGTTCTGTCTCTTTCTTCAGGAATTCATCCTCATTCTATCAGCATTGCTCCAGTCATAAAATCACAAGATTTTCTTCCATTTCTTTGTTGGGTGCCAAGCCCTACTTTTTTTTTTTAATCAAACTGGCTTTTTTTTTCTCTCTCTCTCTCTTTTTTTTTTTTTTTTTTTTGGTGGGGGGGCAGGGAGCGTACCAGGGATTGAACTCAAGGGCACTCTACCACTGAGCCGCATCCCCAGCCCTATTTTGTATTTTATTTAGAGACAGTGTCTCACTAAGTTGCTTAGCACTTCACTGTTGCTGAGGCTGGCTTTGAACTCGGGATCCTCCTGTCTCAGCTTCCCCAGCAGCTGGGATTACAGGCGTGCACCACTATGCAAACTGGCTTTCTGTTGAGCACAATGTATCTTGCCCATCTCTACCATCGCTGCCCAGTTCAGTGCTTCATATTCTGTCACTTGGATTATTGGAATTTCACTTCAAACTCTGGATGACCAAACCTGGTCTCCTGGTTTCTCATTCAAAACCTATTCCACTCACAGTCTTCCCTATCTCAGATCATGGAAACTCTATCCTTCCAGTTGCTTAGGCCAAGAATCCCACCATAATCCTTAACTACTTTCTTTCATATCTTATAGGCTATATCTATAAGATATATCCAAAATCTAACTACTTCTTACCACCTCCACTTAGTTCAAGTTTCTGAATTATCCTAAACACTCTTTCTGCTTTTTTCCTTTCTGTCGCCACCCCACTACCCAAGGTGATGTTTTTGTTTTATTTTGTTTTGCATACTCAGGTCAAACCTAGGGCCTCGCACATGCTAGGCAAGTGCTCCACCCCAAGCCCCCCCAAGGCGATTTTTAATAGGTCATACTGAGTTGATCTTTTTAAAAATGTAAATCAGAGTGTTACTCTTCTGTTCAAAAATCTCTAAATTATCCCCATTTCACTTCAAGCAGTATTTCTCAACCCAGGGCAACCTCTCTCACCAAATTCTCAGGAGACTTTTTTCCCTTCAGCAGTCCTTTTTATTTTTTACTTTGAGATAGGATCTTGCTAAATTGCCAAGGATGCCCTCGAATTTGCGATTCTCCTGCTTCAGCCTCCCTGGTAACTGAGATTACTGGCATGTACCACTGCACCTGGCTGGAGTCATTTTTTGTTATCACACTCTAGTGTAGAGTGCATCTAGTGGCATCTAGTGGATGCTAGCCAGTAGGGATGCTGCTAAATACCCTGTAATGCAGAACAGAATACCTGTCACAACCAAGAATCATCTAGTCAAAAATGTCAACAACATAGCCAGGTGTACCACCATGTCCAGTGCACTTCAGGGTCTTGGCATGAGCATTGTCCCCTGCCTGGAATGGTCCTTCTTCTAGATGGCCATGTAATTCTCTACCTCTTTCAGTCCTTTGATCAAATTTTACTTTTTTTAATATTTATTTTTTAGTTGTAGTTGGACACAATACCTTTATTCCATTCATTTATTTTTATGTGATGCTGAGGATCGAACCCAGGGCCCCATGCATGCTAGCTGAGAGCTCTACCCCGAGCCACAATCCCAGCCCCAAATTTTACTTTTTTGATGGGGCCAAATACAATGCCTCTCTCCCCAATGGTACTCCAGATTCTGCTACTTTTCTTTGAATATGTTCTAATTGTCTCTACAAGTGGCTTATTTATTACATTTGTTGTTAATTGTCTGTATCTCCTGACTAGAAGACAAGTTTCATAGAGTTAAGATTTTCTTTTTTTCCCCAAGGAGCCTAGACGAGTGTCCGACATTTAGTAGATGTTCAATTAATATCTTGAAGAAAGAAAGAATGAAAGAGTGATAGCCGGGCTTGGTAGTACACAACTGGCAGCTCAAGAAGCTGAGTCAGGAGGATCTTGCGTTCAAAGCCAGCTTCAGCAACTTAGCAAAGCCTTAAGCAACTTAGTGAGACCCTGTCTCTAAATAAAAAATAAAAAGGGCTGAAGTTGTGGCTCACTGGTTGAATGCCCTTGTATATGTATAACAACAAAAAAAAAAGTGATGGATTTATGGAGGATGATTCAAAGAATCCCCTGCTTCTTGACTTGTAGCTCTACTCTTTCCCTCTCCTATCTGTTCAGTGCTCTGCTGTCAGTCATCAGAAATGATCATTTCTTCCTCCTACACACATGGAATAATATTTGAAAGCCTTCCAGCCTCTTGGAAACTCATATTCCCCAAATTTATCTCAAATCCTCACCCAGACTCACTTTCCAATGCATCCTTTGGGCATCTACTCAGCTAACGCATTGACAAATATTAACAGCAGACTTGGAATGGTGATAGCGGACAGGTTTGGGAATTTGTTTTTCTTTTGTTTGGTCAACAGGGTGTAAAAGCAAGTTGGCAGAAGTAGGGTCCCCTGCAGTGAGGTCAGTGGACAGAGATCCAGACTTCCAGACCACTACATGCAGGCCACCACTTGGTGATGGGCGTTGTAGAGAATGACTGAGCGAGGGAAAGTGATGTCAAGCACTCAG